CCGTTCCGGAAACCAGAACGGCCCGTTCTGAAATGAGAACGGCCCATTCCAGGGTACAAATTAACACTGAATTCCCTTGGTTTGAAACGTCCCGTTCTGCTCTGGAACTGCCCGTTCCAACCATGGTTTGGTGTTGTTCTTTCTTGTAATATGTTGTCATATTGACGTTTGTTTGTTGAGTTTTGTGGTATCGATCAAAATTTCAAAAATGAATTATAATTGTGATGCTCGAGTGACTTTTAATTATGCAATTTTAAGGGTAAATTTCAAATGTCATTTAGAAATTAGAAGTCATTTGTTATTATTGACACACTATTTATTTTGTATTTAATTATATCTTTATTTTTAACTTTATCTTTGAGAATTGTCTGTTCGATTTATCAACCATCTGATAAAAATATTGACTTTTTTTGTTAAGTGTGTGAGATAATTGAAAAAATGTTCATAAGAAAATATGAGAAAGAATGCTTTATAACAATGGCTATTAGTTGACATATACTTTCAAATTTAAATTCTATTTACTTGCATTTGGATTGAATGTTGTTAATTAATGTTTATATGGAAATTTAAGCAAACTATGATTATGACGATGCAAGAATAAAAATTGAGTCATGTAAAATGAATAAATTTTTATTTTAATTTAGTATTCTATTTATTTATTTATTATTTTTCATTTTTCAAAATTTGGAATTATAGTTTTTCGTATGATCTTAGTTAACTACTTGCATCTTTATTAGAAGATTAAATTATATTCTAGATGACATGTACAATTGTTAATAATATTATGTCAATATGTCATATCTCTAATTTTTTAATGTTTTTTTTAAATTATCTATTTTAAAATGAATATTAAAAACAAAAACAATAATACTACACTTTATAATGGTGAAATTAATTTTTTTACAGAGATCAAAATTTTAGAGATTGTTATATTTACTTAGTTATTTAAACCAACAATTTTATTTTGTAAAGTAAAACTTGCCTTGATCTCAAGAGTTCTTCTCAAATTTTATTCTTCCATTTAAATTTTAGTTGTGAAGGGTTCATGTCACAAAATATGTGTTAATCCATAATTTCATTTTTTCTACAAAAATAATAGTCAAATTTCATTTCAAATATTACTCATTTTCAAAATAAAATTTTATGACAAAATTGCAATATAATTTGCCCACTTTCTCCCTAAGTTTATTGAGTTTCCTATTTTGTAATCAATAGCTTCCAACTTCCTGTTGTCGTAGCTTAGACACTTTACAATTCCTTGCTGGTCACAGGTAGAACACGAATTTAGAAGGGAGGTTGAATATATTCTTCGCTTAAATGACTTCTAATGGTCTTTCTTTCTCTCATTACTAATTTCTTTCTTTCTTTATTACCAGATTGTATATATCATATCAAATTTTACAACACAATAATCTTTAGTATTCAAGAAAACTTTTTTTTCCTTTCTTGAATTTTTTTTATCAATTCAACACGAACTATAACAAGATATGAAGGTAAAACGAGAAATTGCAAAGTGATCTATACTAGTTCAACTATACAAAGGCCTACATCTAGTTTCAGACTTAGCTCCTCGCTAAATCCACTCTTTGTACTATAATATTCTTTACAAACACCATGTACAAGCAATATTATAATAAAAAAATCTCAATGTCCTAATCTTTATCCCACAAGATTATACAACCACCAAAATTCTTGCTCCTCAAGAACACTTGAGAAAACCTATCTCAATATTTCTCTTTCACTTTTTCTTAAGACTCCCTTATCCCAAAAGATAACATACCATAGCATACCCAACTATTCAAACAAGAGTTTAAAGATCAGAATTGATACGCCTTATGTGCAGATTGATCTTCCACAAAGAATTATTTAGCAATGTTGATTTTCTTGAAATATTTTCAAGATGACATCTTTCTTGAATTTTCTTTGCTCATTGATTGTTCTGAAAATATTTGATCTTCACTCAAAAATGATTTTCAAATATTGAAAATGATTTTCTTTTTCACTCTTTGATCTCTCTAATCAAATATGTCATCCTTTTCTCATATTATTTAGTTTTTGAAAAGAGTTATGTTTATAGAGCAAATAAGATTTCAACAATAAAAGCTCGTAATAGGAGTAATATATTACCAATATCAGGTAATCTATTACTAGTATTTAATGAAACTGAAATTTGATGAAATAAGAACTGAGGTAATCGATTACTGATCATGGTAATCAATTATCTCGTGTTCCAGGAACCATAGAATTCACTTTTCAGCAGAGGTAAACGATTACTAAAGTTGGTCATCGATTATCTTGATGTTTTTCCAACTTGTTTCACTTATTTTCACTCAAAAGTCACCATGGCAATCAACTACATGAATAGGTAATCAATTATCACAAAGAAGATGTTGAATTCCACTTCAAAACTAAGCTTCAGTAATCTATTACCCCAAATGATAATCTATTACCTGGCTTAATCATGAATTCTTTTGAATAAACCAAGTTCCATTTTATGCCAAAACACATTGTAATCTTTTACATTATGTTTTCACATGAAATGAGAAACTTTAAGTTGAAATATGAGTTTTATGCATTCTAAAATAAGATATAATTTTGAAATTTATACATCATTATAAGCAAACACATTCAAGCCTAAGTCTAATAACAAGCAATACATTATCCTTTTCAACGTAGGCCATGAAATACAAAAATGAATGAATTA